GACTCGAAAAAATAGCTAGTGGTGTCTATCCTCAAGTGAATATTTCAAGCTGAGATTCTTAACTTTATGAGCCCTATGCTTCTAAAAATGTTGCAAATGACCACTATTTTGACTAAAATATTCCAAATACTTCTATAATTCGTGATTTTTGCATATTGATCACAGGAATAATATAGTCTTTCGGCGTATAATGGACGTAATAATCATAATAATAATAATGATATTTATTTAGATTATCTTGAATATAAATATTAACGTTCTGAATAAAATTGTCTGGTTAACATTTAATAAATTTAAAGTGTTTAGCATTGCTTCACTATTTGAAAAACTGTTCAGTCTCAATATCTGTCACATATATTTGTTTTGTAGTTTTTGCAAACGATTTATATCTGTGTTGTTGGATGAATATAAAATGGGAGCACAATAAGTAAAATGTGGTTCTATAATTGACTTAAATATAAATTTAGTTTTTGGCTGCAGATCAATTCATTTCTTAATCTTCACCATTACGCTAATTTTGCTTCTTATTTTCTAACATATATGGTCAATGTTCTGGTTCTCATTAAAATTTAATTTTTCATCAATAATATTACCTCGATATTTTATTTAATTTCTACAAGCTATTTCTACAACCTAAAAAGTGCACAAATTATCACAGAGAAAAAACAATGAAATTGATGTTGACACAGATGAACTTTATAATATTTCGATACAGTACCTAAGTCTTTACGAATAGAATGATACAAAATTTGTGACAAAACAATGATGATAAATATTTTAAAGCAATAAAATAATCTAAACACAGACGAGAGACGAAAAAAACACGACTGTCAGCCTAGCTGTCAATGTCACCTTGCCATTTCTATCGATATTCTGGTTTACGTGATTAGATTGGAACGATTTACACCTGTTTCATTAAACGAAAATCAATATTTGCAAAAAAATTCGCAGTAGATTTCTAAATAATAAAATAATCTAAACACAGACGAGAGACGAAAAAAAACACAACTGTCAGTCTAGCTATCAATGTCACCTTGCCATTTCTATCGATATTTTGCTTTACGTGATATGATAGAAACGATTTACACCTGTTTCATTAAACGAAAAGCAATATTTTCAGATAATTCGCAGTAGATTTCTAAACGAAGAGCAAAATACAAATAAAGAGACAGAAAAATTGTGTGTAAACAAAACATTCACTTGACTAGCATTTTGAGCACTACATGGAATGTAGGCTACTGTAGTTGTTGTTTTCCCAAGAAAATTTTAAGAGTCTTTAGGCCATTTTTTTGGACCGTCAATTGATTCATTTTAATATCCATATTTTTTATTTGAAATGAAGCAATTACGCCTAATTGCAGAAATGAAATAAAATCATGTTCTTGTAATTCACTTTTGAGATAAATCAAAAAAAATTTTACACTTTTTTCGTTACCAATGTGAAATAATGTACGATGATCATTCACATTGAATGTACATAAAACAGTGAAGTGAAGAATACAATATCATCATATAAATTTATTTAATTATTATTTTTGACAATAATAAAATGATTTGCATACAAAACTACATTCCCTATAGTGCTTTCGATAATAATTCGATGAGAAACATCAAAATAATTAAACCCCCTAAATTTACAAGCTTCAAGAACGCTAGAGCTTTTGTTGTTCTTTTTTTATTATCCGAATCTGGTTGAACGAACTGCGTTGATGTTATAGTATAACATTGTTATATGAGCCGAACATGAGCAAAATATCGACGACAGTCTATCGTGCTAAATGAGGTGTTTTAAAGTATCAAATTCCACACAAATCATTACATATGCGGCACGCAACTAAAATGATTAGCATTTATATTTTGTGAACATGTTCTGTTCCTATGCGATAAAACCATTCCAATGTCAATGGGTAAATAAAAAAACAGCTGATGAAACAACAAGTTTTGCTGTAAAAATCCCCGAATTTACCGGTTTTTCACCGATTTAAAATCGCTTCGTTCGGCTTGAAAAGTAACAACGATTTGTATAAAAGCCCCGTGTCTTGTGAGAACATTTCAGTTTGAACAAAGCCAGTTCGAGTAATAAGTCTTGAAAGAGAGTGAACCAAGATGAAGTATTTAATTGTATTAATTGTAATTGCTTTAGCATCATTACATACCGTACAATCGTGTCAATGTTTACCGGTTAAACCCGGTGATTCAGTGTGTGGATCCGATGGCCGGACCTACCGTAGCAATTGTTACCTATTTTGTGAAGGATTGTCCAGGAATAAAACCAAACCATGCCTGACAAAAGTTTCGGATGGTGAATGCGGCTCATCGCGGTGCATTTGTACTGATACCTGCAACTATGTTTGTGGCTCAAATGGTCAAACCTACGGTAACGATTGCACGTTACAATGCGCACAGAAATTGCTGCCGAATTTGACGAAAGTGAAAGATGGACGGTGTGGTGTGGAGATGGAGATTAGTCCAGCACGAAAATGAATGCAGAAAAGATGCAGATTGAAAGAAAAACGTGAAAAATGTTGTTTTTTCAATGAGAAAAATTGTAATCATTGAGGTCATTTTAATTCAATTTTAATTGAAGAGCTATAAATAACCATTTTAATTCATTGTATTGACTTTTCCCTGAATCAACACACAATTATCGATAATATCATGATATGTCAACGTTATTGTGCAAAATAAATAAAAAATAATAAAATTTCCAATTTTACTATGGAAATTTGTCTATGAGTTTTATTTTAGCTTGAATTTTAGCACTTTTTAGCCTTCGAAATATTTTTTAACTGCAATTTATAACCAAATTTTATTAGCAATTTTATTTGCAAACAAAAGCAATAATTGATGAATTCAAAAAACTTGATTCAGTCTCTATCCTATAGAGTCAATCCATCATAACTCCTTGTGATACACACATGAAATATATGACTGCCGTCACATGAAGGCTAACATAGGTCGACATTTGCGCGTCGAGTAGCCTCTGAATATAAAACTTTATTTTACATACAAATGTTGTCATTTTAACCCTTTGATGCACAATTTTTTGTTTTTGAATCATTTTGATATATGTTTTGTGCCATGATAAATAGAGAAAGGCCTCGTACTTAGATTTTTGAAAAATTGCGTATTTGTCGAGAAAATAGGAAAAGAGTCAAAAATGTCAAATCACTATAAAAGCTTGAAAAAATTAAATTTCATAAAACTAATGATGCAGAAAGTTAAATTGATGTGTTTTGGTCCTACGAGTCCTAATTTGAAAATTGAAAAGAATGTACAAACCCATAAGATAAGAGGAGGAAAAATATGGAATTCTGCTATAATTTCGCATTTTTCTACAGCAGTACATGAACAGAAAAAACTTTTCATTCAGCCAGCCAATTGTGGCCTGTAAAGTATCAAATGAAAGCTAGTTCAATTCCCTACATTTGTTTCCAAACAAGAATGCAAAAATATTCAGTGGTTTCATAGCTATAGCGTCTGGCGTATCTGGTTACTTTAGGAACCGATATGTGATAAAGGGTTAAAGCCGTTCGTCAAAGAAGAAAAATTGATAAGTAGTTTTGCGTCGATACATTGACAATATAAAAAAACGGTTTTCAATTTTTCAATAAAAATTATGAGTAGAGAGCCAGAGCTATTGTTTGCAGTAGGTGGTCATAGCGAATACTTATCAGAAGGACATTTGTACAAGGTCAAAATCAAATCAGTTGAAGGAGATGGAGCTGGAGGGTTTGAGTACAGAGTACATTATGTTGGATTTAATCCGCGTCACGATGAAGTTGTTCATGAAGATCGATTGAGAAATGAGACAAAAGCAATATTGGGTGAGTACTTAGCGTGGCGAGTCGATCGGGATCTTCGAAATAGAATGAATACAGCGCGTAGATTGTAATTGCTTATGCCGGAAACAAACGATTTTCTACTGCTAATATTTTTGGAACTGTACGGTTCCTTTTATGAAAGCCATATCGATTTTTCATATCTGCGGTTTCGGAGAAATAGTTAATTTCCATTTGTTTACAAAAAACAACATATCGAAAAGAGAGAAATTTAGTCTTTTGTTCAGGTGAATTTTCTTTCTTGGTTTGAATAATAATGATTGCAAGGTTGTGATAGGATTTATCGATTTGAAAAAAGAAGAAAATTGAAAATAGACAATATCCATTGCCCATTGGATGAACGGGTTAGACTATCCGTGTGCAAGAGAAATGTAACTAAAATTTACCAATAAAGCGGTTACAGAGGTATTGAAGCTGATGTTTTGAATGAAAAATAGTCGATTACGATTTAATTTTGTCCAGAGGCTTCAATTGGGATATTTTGGACTACGAATTCATTTGACTATTTTACTAGTCAGAATATTGGGCCTAGAAGAGATTTTTGAATGGAGATTATTCAATGGAATGCAGATTCGCTCAACGATCACATAATTATGTTTTAATTATAATTCCATGCACTTGAAATGTGTATAAATGAGACTTGTCAAGTGTAAGCTTTGAGTTAAACCAGTTGACTTTTGACACATTTTATTGCGTTGTTCATTTGCATACGCCTGTTTTGATTGCAAAAACAGAGCTACTGAAAGCAGAGTACAAATTAGATGATGAATCACCGAATATGGTATCATGTCAATTATTGTTAGTGGTTAATGGATTCGCGTGTGATTTTTTGCGATTATAAAAACAATGTAACATTGTCATTTACGCTGTAACGATCGCTTCAAATGACCAAATGGAAAACAAACAAACTTCATTCATTGTTACCTATACTGGGCCAAACAGCTTGAATTATTAAATAAGATGTGTTGTCATCATTTTGGCCACTCATTATACAGCACGTGATTTGACTGATTGTTATCTCTTTTTTCGCAAACCTGTTTCCGTATAGAATCAAATACATAGAAATTGATACAAAGCAAACAGTGGAGCTTGCTATAAAAGCCGTGCGTTCAATGGGAGTTCTCAGTCTGATTTAGAGTGTTGAAGTGTATTGAGATAAAACAAATCAAGCTTTTGTTAGAATAGAATTGAGAAGCGTGTAATAAACAAAAATGAGAAATTTAATCGTGATTATTGGACTTGCTGTGGCCATTGTCCATTCAGTATATTCATGCAAGTGCGTGGCACCGAAACCTGGTGACGAAGTTTGTGGATCCGATGGCATGACCTACGATAGCAAATGTATATTATTTTGCTCTGGATTATATAAGAACGAAACCGAACCGTGCGTAACAAAAGTTTCGAATGGCGAATGCGGCCCATCGCCCTGCATTTGTACTGATACCTGCAAACATGTGTGTGGCACAAACGGTGAAACCTACGGTAACGATTGCACGTTGGAGTGTGCACAAAAATTGGAGCCAAATTTGACGAAAGCGAAGGATGGAAAGTGCAATCAATAACACGTTACGCCGAAGTTTGGAATTCTAATTTTTTAAAAATAAATAATCATTTGAATTAGATTTAATGTAAATGACATGAAATAAAATGAATTCAATCGGCTTCATGATGAATCAGTTTGCCATCATTCAAATATTCAAAACAAATCTAAACGAAATAGAAAGACCAGATTTTATACTTGATACAATTTAGTATTTGTTTTTATTTAATGCAAATTGATAATAAAAAGTTGTGTCTGTCGATGTGATTGACTGCAAGTGTTATTCATTGACAGCAGACTTAGCAGACAGTTACTTGTGCATTTTCTTCTTGTGCTGGTTGAGATTAACCTTTTGCGAGAAGCATTTCGAGCATATTCCACATCGGAATGGCTTCTCGCCAGTGTGGACTCGCATGTGGTTCATCAAGTGTGTTTTATGATGAGTTGTGTAGCTCTTGCACAATTCGCATCGGTATCCGCGTCGCTTGCAGTTGGCTTCATGATCTCCTTTTTCCTTCTGTTGGGCGAAGTTCTTGAAGCAAGATGAACACTTGAATTTCAATGGACGAGGATTGGTGTGAGTTTTGCGGTGGCGTTCCAAATTACTCGCGAGATTGAATCTTTTTGAGCATTGGTCGCATTCGAATGGTATCTCGCCGGTATGAACACGCAGATGATGTTTCAAATGCGTCTTATGCAAAGCAAAGAATTCCTTGCACATATGACACTCGTAGCGACGAACTTTGCAACCAGATTCATGTTCCACCTTCTCCTCGCTGCGATGAAATCCTTGCAAACAATTTGAGCAACTGAACAGAAATTCATCGACGTGTGTTTTCATGTGCGATTGGAGATGTTGTTTTTGGGTGAATCGCTTCTGGCACAGGCTGCATGGAAATGGTCGTTCGCCAGTGTGCTTGAACATGTGATTATTCAAGTTGGTTGTGAAGTCGGTGACATAATCGCACAATGAACACTTGTGTCGTTTTCCATTTGTCTCGCCTTCAGTTGGTTTTTGCTTGCTACCAAAACGGTTGGCTGTGCTACTTTTCCTGATTTTGCCTGCACTTTTTGTTGCTTCACCTTCATCCGCTCCACTTGATCTCGGTTTAGGGAAACAATTGTTTGCATTGTTTTGTAACTCTTCATCTTTGTCGAAGCTCTTACGTGGAACCCTATTCGCCTCATCCTTAAAGTTTTCATTCTTCACTTCCGATTTTACCTCATCCAAATGGTAGAAATCACAGCAAACGTTGATATCATTGATTTGCCCACTAGCAATCGCATTTTCAAGTGTTCCAATGGCTGTGTGTGCTGATCTTGACACCATCATAATACTATCGTTATCATTGGGGTCTTCTTTGACGGTCGGCTCTAGTTTGATTTCCATTTCACACAAAATCGATTCATTTTGGTTCGCGATGGCATCAGATTCGTGTTTGTCAGGCGGCTCTCTACCGTGACCATTCATTTCGACGCAATTTTGGTACTGTCAATGGGAAATCAGACTGTTTGTACAATATACATTAGAAACATGGAACAAACTTTTAGAAAATCACACTTTTGCATTAACTCACCAGAAAGCACGGAAAACTTCACAAATTCAACTATTTATTTCGTTATTGTAAAATAAATTGGTCGAAAATACAAACTCAGCGAATAAACTAATGAATTAAAATTAAGTGTTGAAATGACTCTCAGCAGAGCAAAAATGGCGTCGCGAATAGAAGAAAATATTTAGTTTCACGTGTAGTCGATGCTCTGCGATGTGGTTTGTGCTGAAGCGATGATGAAATAGCGATGGATGAATGGCATACTCACACACCACAATGACAAGTGTCAAAAGTCGAACTTCGAAATATGGTGTCGTGTTGCCTCAATGTCAACTTCGATAGATGTCATCTCTCTATCAAACCGCTAAAAAATAAGGTTACAGGAAATAATAATTGCAATGAAAATTTACGGATGGATACTCGATGTCAGTGCTTTTCGTCTTTTCAAAAATGTCTTTGAAACCGACTCTATAACTTGAGACCGAATAACCGCTGAATCTTGCCCAATTTCAGGATTGATTTCAATAAAAAAATTTGTGCGGTGAATTCTGTTCCAATTGATAATAGAAAATAACATATAGCATGTCCCCCACTATGGTGGCAGCTAGGAACAAATCAATCAATGAACCAATTTGTCATTATTTAATGACGTGAATAATTTCAATTGAAATGAAAAAAAAAACAAATTTTATATTTGATCCAATTTCGTATTTGTTTTTATTCAATGCGAATTCAGGATCAAAAGTCTTTTCATATTATCGATTTAAAATGTAATTCCTTGGCGGCTGACAGCTACTTGTGAATTATCTTGTGTTGGTTGAGATGAGCCTTTCGCGAGAAGTACTTTGAGCAGGTTTCACATCGGAATGGCTTTTCGCCAGTATGGATTCGCATGTGTGTCAACAAATCTGGTTTACGGTCAGTTGTGTAGCTCTTGCACAGATCGCATCGGTATCCACGTCGTTTGCAGCTGGCTTCATGATTTTCTTTTTCCTTCTGTTGTGCGAAGCTCTTGAAGCAAGATGAACACTTAAATCTCAATGGACGAGGATTAGCGTGGGATACTGTTTGCTTCTCGATATTTTGGGGCTTCAGTTACACTTTTATTTACATCACCGTCAATCTGTGGACCAGGTTTTGGTTCCATTTCGTTTATAAAACGCTTCTTTGCCTTGTTCTCTGGTTGGTCTTTGTCGCAGCTTTTCCCTGGAACTTGGTTAGCCTCATCTTTCACCTTTTCAATCTTCACTTTCGATGTTACCTCATCCAGATTGTAAAAATCGAAGCAACCATCGCTGTCATCCGCTTTGGCACCACCAATCGAATTGTCAAACGATCCAATGGCTGTGTGTATTGATCGTGATTCCATTAATATTTCGCCGGAGAGTTCAATCTCTTGTTTGACGGTCGGCTCATATTTGATTGTCATTCCACCTGAAATAGGTTCATTTTGTAACGCGATGGCATCAGACTCGCGTTTATCAAGCGGTTCTGTTCCGTGACCATTCATTTCGACGCAATGTCGGTGCTGGCAAAAAGAAAATCGGGATGTTTATCAGAAACATTCATGTATTGTGCAAACACTTGAAAAACCACATTTTGCCATTAGAACTCACCTTTCTTTCACAAAATAAACGGTTTGCTTCGAAAAATTGAAAATAAAATGACCAAAAATCAAAACTCGCCGATTAAAGTCCGTAGAGCGTAAATTGTTTGTTAGACTGACTCTATTTGGCAGAGCAAAAATGGCGTCGTGAAAGAATGAAAATATTTATCAAGTTGAACTGAATGTGTAGCCAATTCACGGAGATGTACTGATGCGCTAATGGAATAGCGATTGACGAACAGCGCACACAGTCACACACTTCAATGACAGGTGTCGAAACTCGAAATATGTTGTAGTGTTGCCGCAGTGAATTTCGAATTTGTCGATGGATCCAGGTTGTCTATTTATATATGCAAGAGAGAAATTTGTTATTTGCAAAGCAGCGAATATTTCACTTCTGAAAATAAATTTTTTTTTCTTGGGTGAAATTTGATTGGAAGAATTTCGAAATACATTTTGAATATTACGTCAGAAAATTGTGACATTTTTAATCCTTCAAGTAGTCGAAGCGTTGCGCAAAATCACATTTTGATAGATGTCACCTTCATTCAACCGCAAACAAATCAGGATTTCATGAAGGAAATAATATGTGCAATTACAATTTACGCCTTGATACTCGATACCGGTGCTTTTTCTCTTTTCAAAAATGTCTCTGAAGCCAGTTTTAGAACATGAAACCAATTAATCTTGGAAAATTTCACGAGTAGTTCATTAAATTAAGCACTTGATGCCTGGGATTCAGGGGAATTTAGATGTTATTTGTAACAATAAATGGTTCAAACAATGCTCAAGATCTGGTTTTCGGGCTATAAATAAAATTTAGCTGTTCCATGAAAACAAAGTATAACACTTCCCTCTCACAGTTGGCAGCTAAGAATAAAAACAGTGCAGTTCATGATGAATCAGTTTGTTATTTTTCAATTTTATCTGAGCAATGTCAATTGGAATAAAAACGGAATTTGATACACTTTCGTATTGGTTTTTGTTATTGTTATTGAAAATTGGAAAGTAGAAATTCTGTCGTCGATGTGATTGAATGCAAGTGTTATTGATTGGCAGCAGTCAGCTACTTGTGAATTTTCCGGTGTTGGTTGAGATGTGTCTTTTGTGAGAAGCACTTCGAGCATGTTTCACATCGGAATGGTTTTTCACCAGTGTGGATTCGCATGTGGCTCATCAAATGTGTTTTATGATGAGTTGTGTAGCTCTTACATAATTCGCATCGGTATCCGCGTCGCTTGCAGTTCGCTTCATGATCTTCTTTTTCCTTCTTTTGGGCGAAGTTCTTGAAGCAAGATGAACACTTGAATTTCAATGGACGAGGATTGGTGTGAGTTTTGCGGTGGTATTTTAAAGCATTTTTACGCTTGAATCTCTTTGAGCATTGGTCGCATTCGAATGGCCTCTCGCCGGTATGCATACGCAGATGATGTTTCAAATGATTCTTAAGCAAAGTAGAGAATTTCTTGCACAGATGACACTCGTAGCAACGCACATTGCAACCTGTTTCGTGTTCCACCTTCTCCTCGCTGTGATGAAATCCTTGCGAACAATTTGAGCAGCTGAATAGAAATTCATCAACGTGTGCTTTCATGTGCGATTGGAGATTCCGTTTCCCGATGAATCGTTTCTGGCACACTCTGCATGGAAATGGTCGTTCGCCAGTGTGCGTGAACATGTGTCTTTTCAAATTGGTTGTAAAGTCGGTGACATAATCGCATAATGAACACTTGTGTCGCTTTCCATTCGCATTGCCTTCAGCTGGTTTCTCTTTCTCACCGATACTGTTTGCTGTGCCACCTTTTCCGATTTTGTCTAACCTTTTATTTGCCGCACCTTCACCCGGTGTACTTGATTTCGATTTAGAAATGTTCTTCTCAACATTGCTTTGTGGCTTTTTATTTTCGTGAGAGTCCATCCGTGGAACTTGATTCGCCTCATCCTTAACCTTTTCAATCTTCACTTCCGAATTCATCTCGTCCAAATCATAGAAATCGAAGCAACCGGCACCACCAATCGAATTTTCAAGCGGTCCAATGGCAATGTGTGCTGACCGCGATACCATCAAAATTTCGCCGGGGACTTCGCTCTCTTGTTTAATGGTTGGCTCCTGTTTGATTTCCATTCCACACAAAATCGATTCATTTTGTTTTGCCATGGCATTGGATTTGTGTTTGTCAGGTGACTCTGAACCGTGACCATTCATTTCGACGCAATTTCGGTGCTGTCAATTGGAAATCAATGTTCATTAGAAACCAAACATGGAACAAACTCTTGGAAAATTATACATTGGCACTAAAACTCACCTTGTTGCACACAAATTAGTTTGCTTTTATTTCGTTGATGCAAAAATAAATTAGCCAAAAGTCAAAATTAAGCGAATGAACTATAGCTTGCAAAAATTGCGTGTTGGAATGACTTTTTTGAGCAGAGCAAAAATGGCGTCGCGAATAAAAGCAAATTTTAAGTTCGACGTGTATTCGATGCACGGAGATGTGAGCTATGTGCTGATGCGTTGATGAAATAGCAATGGACGAACAGCGCACTCAGTCACACATTTCAATGACAAGTGTCAAAAGTCGAATTTCGAAATATGGTGTTACCGCAGTGACTTTCGCATTTGTTGATGAATTTGGGTTGCTTATTTAGAAAATGTAGGGGGAGTATGTGTAAGTTGACCCACTTTGTAAGTTGACCCACCCCACCGATTTTGTATTGGGTGTATGCATTAATTTTAAAGAATTTTTGAGTTCATAGATACATTTATTAAAAGGATAAATTGATATCATATTACAAGAATGGGGAAATCAAACCTTTCTTTCATCTCAAAACTTATTTATTTAATTATTAAATTAATTACGAATAATATATATATTTCAAATCTAATGTTGAAGGCAGTTGATACAAATTCTTTTTAACTACATTTGCTTTTTCTAATCGATGAATAATAGATAACAGCCTTTAATTCTATCCGCTCTCGCTCCGAACAAGCAACCGACAATAAAAAAGAAAAGAGTCAGTAGGGATAAGAGCGATAAAAAGCATGTTTTATACGCAAAAAAAAACGTTTGATATCAATTCTTAATATCTATGAGATTGAGAGCCGCATATGTATTTTGGCCGACTTAAATTTTGATAAATTAGAGTATGTTTCACTCGTATTTTTTTGAGATTTTCATTTTAATGAAGAAAAAGTCGATTTGATGTCTTCGTAAAAATTGTTGCTCACCAATTGAAAACATTCTCTACTTTTTTCAATACAAAGTCTATGAAAAATACTCAATCTTTGATATTTAGAGAAAGAGATAAAGAGAAAATTTTCTGTTGAGACCACTAAAAATACCATTTTTTAATTCTTTTATCAATTGTCATACGATTTCCCATTTTCTGTCATATATTTTCCTATTTCTGTCATACGTTTTCCGATTTGCTGTCATACGATTTCCCAATTTTTGTCATACGTTTCCACCCATTTTTGTCATATTTTTTCCCATTTTTGTCATACGTTTTCCCATTTTCTGTCATACGTTTTCCCATTTCTTGTCATACGTTTTCCCATTCTTGTCATACGTTTCCCCATTTCTGTCATACGTTATCCCCTCACCCTTATTAAAATAATAAAATGAATGAGTACATTAACCAATGTATTCGCCATCGTTAGCTATGACTTCTAGCCATCTTTCAGGCAGCTTGTTGATTCCTCGCTTGAAGAAGTCCTCGTCTTTTGAGGTTATGTAGTCATCAACCCATTTCCGCACTTCTTCCTCATTTTGAAAGCGTACTTCAGACAGGGTCGAAATAGATAGTAGTCGCAAGGAGCAAGGTCTGGAGAGTACGCGGGCTGATCAAGCCGATCCCAACCGAGCTGCTCTACCTTATTTTTAACGATTGTTGCATGATGTGGCCTAGCGTTGTCATCGTGGAACAAAACATTGTGGTGTTTTCGAGCTATTAATGGACGTTTTTCATCCAATACATGAGCCAAATCATTTAATTTGCGTCGATAGCGTTCCTTATTAATCGTTTGATCTGGTTTCAGCAGCTCATAATACACGACTCCTCTCATATCCCACC